TAGATAGATAGATAGATAGATAGATAGATAGATAGATAGATAGATAGATAGATAGATAGATAGATAGATAGATAGATAGATAGATAGATAGATGAAAATAAGCTCGTTAAACTAAAGTAAATTTTACGTAAAATAGAAATCTTAGATGTTTCCAATGATAACTCCTCTTATTGCATGATAAGCATTGAGAATAACAGAAATGTTCTAAATGTTCTACTATGTTACCAGAACTAGAGGAGATACCTCGCCACAAATTCGTTCCAGCAATGTTGCATAAATTTGACCGTCTTCTTTGTCTACAGGTTGGAAAATAATTTCCAGTCCTTTTACCATAGATTAATTAAATTAACAGACAGAACACTAGATGTCGTTTTTTTAAGATTCATGCGAGTTCAGCCAAAAAGCTGGATCGAATGGGCTGAAATTTTTTGTGGAACTCAGGGGTCCCCGGGGGGTTTTTTAGGGTAAAAAAATCGATTTTTTATTTCAAAAAATAATCTCAAATTTTTTTTACCACGGGCAACGCTGGGCCCTTCAGCTAGTGTTACATATATCAATTTTCTTTCTTTTTTGCCAGTATATTTTAGCTAGCCTTAGATACTATAATAGATCTGATAGTTTAATTGAATTTGTATTTTTTGCGTGTTTCCTCATTCTCTCTCAAAAAAAAACGGGGCGAGATATACACTTTTTAGTTTACAGACCTGATATTAGAAGAAAAAGGTAGGTTTAGCCCAGACTGTACAGTAAACACATCCGGTATAGCAAACTTACATAAAATCAGGAACCTAAATAGTTTACATTTAATCAGGAACCTAAATAGTTTACATATAATCAGGAACCTAAATAGTTTACATATAATCAGGAACCTAAATAGTTTACATGAAATCAGGAACCTAAATAGTTTAATGTTTACATATTTCCAAAAAAGTGTTTCTACGTTTAAAATAATTTCTTAACGAAATTATCAACAGAATTTTCGGGATTTTTCAAAAGGTTTTGTGTCTTTTCAAAATGCTTTTGGTAAGATCAATTTTACCAACAACATTTTAAAAATTAAATTTTCAGTTCTATTTAGAAACCGAAAAATAAGTTATATATCCATATTGTTTTAATCTAGAAAATTAGAAATTGAGAAATTAAGACAAACGATACGATTAAATGATTTTAATTTGACAAGATTAGGTTAAAAGTGAAAACTGTTCAATTAATTGAACAAAAGTGAATCAACGGGGTGTAAAGAAGAGAAAGTAAAATGATGAATGGGGTTGGAAATTTTTAACAAAAATTCCTGTAAAATTTATTAGATTTTTATATTTCCAAGTTAGATCTTAGATGTATCAGTCCATAAATGTAAAAAATGATAAAAAATTAAGTTAAAAATGGACATTTAGATAGGGAACCCCCCCCCCTAATCGTCGAAACTTTTGCCTAAAAGTTACTTTCATACTTACGCAGCAGAAACTGGGTAGGAAATTGCCAAAATTCTACGAAAAACGATTTTATCTATTCCAAATTTTCTTCATAGCCATTGTAAATGACCACAATTGGAGGCTGCATTCCTCCTATCTCAATTTTCAAGAGAAAAGTACTCAAAAAAAGAGAGAAAATTGACGAAAAAACAGGGTGTTCCCAGAAAATCAGGCTTTTAACCCACTTATTGTTGGAATGTCAATGGAATTTTTTAATATGTTTTTCATATCAGTATAATGAAGATATTTTTAGATTTTAAAAAATCAATTTTTTGGCCGTTTTTCCCAAAAATATAAAAAAAAACTCCTCTTTTTCTTTGACACCCTGTATACAAGATTTATACAACTACAACAGTTACCAAAAATATAAAAAGACAATTGTCATAAGTTTTAATTGATATCAAGAATTATTATAGCTTCAAATCTTACCAAGATAAAAATGTCTCTTTGTAAACGGTAAAATTCATGAATTTTACAAATTTCAAAAAGATTTTTTTAAATAGCCAAAAAAAGACTTTTACAAAGGTAAAAATAAAAAGTATTGTATTTCCCCTATTAATATATCCTTAAAAGGCATCTTAAAATTTTGAGCAAAATCGGAGACATTGACCATATTTGAAATGATCCATATCCCTTTTCCACGTACTGCACCTAATAACAACATGGATCAATGTAGTTGATTAAGCAAAATAAACACGTCACAATCTAGCGTACATTTTCCTCCACTTGTCCTGACGGGATCTCGTAGTCACTCAGCTAAAGGTTTAAAGGGTACCGGTGTAAATCGGACATGCCACTTTACAAATGGTGGGTTACTTGAAATTACGTCTGCAGTCCCTTTAATTAAATATAAATACGTATACCGTCCCTTTAATTGATTATAAATATGTATACAGTCCCTTTAATTGAATATAAATACGTATAAAGTCCCTTTAATTGAATATAAATACGTATACAGTCCCTTTAATTAAATATAAATACGTATACAGTCCCTTTATTGAATATAAATACGTGTACAGTCCCTTTAATTGAATATAAATACGTATACAGTCCCTTTAATTGAATATAAATACGTATACAGTCCCTTTAATTGAATATAAATACATGTACAGTCCCTTTAATTGATTATAAATACGCCTGCAGTCCCTTTAATTGAATATAAATGCGTATACAGTCCCTTTAATTCAATATAAATACGTATAAAGTCCCTTTAATTCAATATAAATACGTATACAGTCCCTTTATTGAATATAAATACGTGTACAGTCCCTTTAATTGAATATAAATACGTATACAGTCCCTTTAATTAAATATAAATACATGTACAGTCCCTTTAATTAAATATAAATACAGGTACAGTCCCTTTAATTAAATATAAATACGTATACAGTCCCTTTAATTAAATATAAATACGCATACAGTCCCTTTAATTGAATATAAATACGTATACAGTCCCTTTAATTGAATATTAAAACGTATACAGTCCCTTTAATTGAATATAAATAAGTATACAGTCCCTTTAATTGAATATAAATTCGTCTACAGTCCCTTTAATTAAATATAAATACGTATACAGTCCCTTTAATTGAATATAAATACATGTACAGTCCCTTTAATTGAATATAACTACGTATAAAGTCCCTTTAATTGAATATAAATACATGTGCAGTTCCTGTAATTGAATATAAATACATTTACAGTCCCTTTAATTGAATATAAATACATATACAGTCCCTTTAATTGAATATAAATACATATACAGTCCCTTTAATTAAATATAAATACATATACAGTCCCTTTAATTAAATATAAATACAGGTACAGTCCCTTTAATTAAATATAAATACGCCTACAGTCCCTTTAATTGAATATAACTACATTTACAGTCCCTTTAATTGAATATAAATACATATACAGTCCCTTTAATTGAATATAAATACGTATGCAGTCCCTTTAATTGAATATAAATACGTATACAGTCCCTTTAATTGAATGTAAATACGTGTACAGTCCCTTTAATTAAATATAAATACGCCTACAGTCCCTTTAATTGAATATAACTACATTTACAGTCCCTTAAATTGAATATAAATACGTTTACAGTCCCTTTTATTGAATATAAATACGTATACAGTCCCTTTGATTGAATATAAATAGTTCCAAGTTTCTAAATGATTTAAGCAAATGTCTTGATTTCTAAATCGAACTCACACATTCAATTCACGCAAATCCTCACGCATGTAGACAACAAAAAATTCACGTTGCTAACGCACGTACGCTTTTCAATTTTCTCTTTTCCTGACATTGACCACTAGTTACTCTACTTTAAAGTTTAATTCCCGTCACTTTCACTTCTTCACTCTTTAATGGATTTTATAAACATAATATATATGTACAGGGTGACCCACACAGTATGAGAGAGAGTAAACAACCTTATACTCTTAAAATATGACGATCTCAAGGTTAAATAAAGTGTTAATCTGCATTGAATAGGGTTTTTTATTAGCTTATTAAGTATAGAGGAAAGGGAGAAACAGGTTTACAGTTGCCGAAAATAATGAATATGGAGCAGACCGTAAAAGTGATGTGCCTTCCAACCCACAAAGGATGAAACTTAGTAACAATTTAAAACTTTAAAGCCTAAAAAGGAATAACAAAACGAGTTTGCAAACAGAAGAAAAAAGGGAACCATGTAAATTTCTAGAGTAGGTTAGATTTTATTGCGTTACATTGTCTGAAGTCTTATCTTCTCCTTTATGGTTAATGTTGGCGTCATTTCAATTTACAACGTTACTTTATAACGTTACTTTACAACGTTACTTTATAATGTTACTTTATAACGTTACTTTATAATGTTACTTTATAACGTTACTTTATAACGTTACTTAAAACGTTACTTTATAAAATTACTTTATAACGTTACTTTATAATGTTACTTTATAACGTTACTTTTTAACGTTACTTTATAACGTTACTTTATAACGTTACTTTATACGTTACTTTTTAACGTTACTTTATAACGTTACTTTATAACGTTACTTTAAAACGTTACTTTATAACGATACGGGCCCGATTCACAATGGTACGTTTTGAACCTTTATTGGATCAATAATAAGGAAGATATCTTGTTTTTCTTTTTTATATAAAATGTAAATTCTCTCCATGAACTTCTTTACTTCTGCTGCATAAAGTCACTTGTTAAGAACAACAAGGCGAGTGCAAAGCAATTTTTTTGCCGAAAATTCTAATTTCGTAATTATATACAGTTTACCATACATATTTTAAACTATAAACTCTGTTAGATCAAATAACAGATGATCTTTCTAGTTTTGAATGTTATAATCGATGTCCCTTACCTCCATGTTGAATGTTATTATTGATGTCCCTTACCTCCTTGTTGAATGTTATTATCAATGTCCCTTACCTCCTTGTTGAATGTTATTATCCATGTCCCTTACCTCCTTGTTGAATGTTATTATCCGTGTCCCTTACCTCCTTGTTGAATGTTATTATTGATGTCCCTTACCTCCTTGTTGAATGTTATTATCAATGTCCCCTACCTCCTTGTTGAATGTTATTATCAATGTCCCTTACCTCCATGCTGAATGTTATTATGGATGTCCCCTACCTCCTTGTTGAATGTTATTATTGATGTCCCTTACCCCCTTGTTGAATGTTATTATCCATGTCCCTTACCTCCTTGTTGAATGTTATTATTGATGTCCCTTACCCCCTTGTTGAATGTTATTATCCATGTCCCTTACCTCCTTGTTGAATGTTATTATCCATGTCCCTTACCTCCTTGTTGAATGTTATTATCGATGTCCCTTACCTCCTTGTTGAATGTTATTATCCATGTCCCCTACCTCCTTGTTGAATGTTATTATCCATGTCCCTTACCACCTTGTTGAATGTTATTATCCATGTCCCTTACCTCCTTGTTGAATGTTATTATCCATGTCCCTTACCTCCTTGTTGAATGTTATTATCCATGTCCCTTACCTCCTTGTTGAATGCTATTATCGATGTCCCTTACCTCCTTGTTGAATGAGTGAGAATTGGTAGATTTTCTTGCACTACAATATATGTCCAGGCAACTGTACTATTTAATTCAGATCTACATTTCTACAGTAAATGAGGCAAAACTAATTATTTTATTATAGATGACTCTTGTTTTATTTTAGTAATTTCTCTAGTACACCATTCCTTTCTCTTTCATCCCCCTCCCCCTCTTATGAACTTCTCTTCCCCCTCCTTTCTCATTTACCCACCTCACCTCCTTTTAATAACTTCTAAAAGTGCCCCTCTCCATCTTTGTTTTACCCCCCCCCCCTCTTCCTCGTCTTTCTCTTTTGTAATCAATTCTCTTGTTTTTTCCCGCTGTAATCACTCCTCCCTCTTTCAATAACACCACTCTCTGTCCTCTACCCCTCTTTTTTTGTTACAAAAAAAATATTTTTGCCTCTTTCCTTATGATTTAGATCCAATGTGTAACTCAGTTGTTCTCCTCCGGCACCCTGTAGTGTTTGTAAAGTATCATTATTGTTAGTGTTTCATTTAATAACTATAATGATAATAATAATAATAATTATAATAATAATAAACCTGTAATGAGCAGGATGGGTCTAAAGAACCTTCTGCTGAAATTTTCCCCGTGAATCCTGGTCCTAAAGAAAGGGTAAAAAAAGAAATAAAGAAATATGGTTTGATTTGGTAATTGGAGATCAAAACTTTTAAATCTTAACTCTTGTCTTAAATCGTCAAGCGCTAAGTAGGTCCCTCCTCCAGGCGGTTAAACTTAAAGAGACTCTAAGCGTAATTTAGAATGTCCTCCCCATGCAATGATGACAATATTCGTTTCACAACGGTACCCTTTGAACATTTTTCTGATCAATAATGTGGAAGATATTGTAGATTTTCTAGAGTAAAAGTGTTTAGCTCAGAATATGTTTTGCGTAAGTCACAATTTTCTAGAGAAACCAAAGTTGTAAATAATTAGTTATCAAAATTATAAACATTGATCTCTAATTCAGACCACATCAGACAAAGTTTTAAAGGGTACAGTTGTGAATCGAGCATTGCCATATATTCATTGTGAAGCAGATGAAATTTCAATTACGATTCCTTTAAGACACCCAAGTCTTGTCAATATATTCATATCTCTTTCTAATTTCGACATGTTTCAATTTCTAAAATTTCTGTTTATCTATTTAAATTTCGAGTAACTTTCTATGCCTAGAGATGGACATCGTTTTTATGAACGAATAACATTTTTAGAACGAACAAACATTTTTGTGAACAATAAACTAACGACGGACATGGATCGTTAAGAAAAATGGAAAAACATCCTTTTAATAAACGGACGAAAAAACCCAAAAATAACGCTCATGAAGGTTTTCTAGTTATTCGTTTGAACGAGCTGTTTTTAATGAACGATTGTAATAGAAAATGAAATGAAATCAACAGTGTTTGAACGATTGAAAAAAACGAACGAAATGGGTTGTTCACGAAAATGAACGAACGAAATGAAAAAAATTCAAAGGCTCCCATCTCTATAATCATACCTGTTTGAATTTCCACTTGAGTATGTTTAGGTCCACAATCTCTGGAGAAAACAAACAAACTTAAATTTTTTTTCTCGAAATTATACTTTTGTAAAAAAACGGTCACCCAAAAAATGGAAGTGTTTTTTGGAAACAAGAGGTTCAGAATCAATCAAAATTTTAAAAAGAATCTATAGTTCATTTTTCTTAGACTTATTGGATAGAATAAAAGTACAAATCTATTCATCACATGGAATTAAAGTAAATTTTACGAACTATTCAATCATAAAATCTTTTTAAAAGAGCTATTGATCAAAAATTGAACAAAATGTAGATTTTCTCATATTGTACGTAAAATCAGTATTAAAAGAAGCTACGAAGAATCAAAGGCGTACCAAAAACCTTTTCCTTCTGCCTAGTGGAGTTGGTCTAAATTATTTTGTGTCTTTGTCTTTTGGATTATTTTCTGTAAAATGTAAAATTTAGATTTTCTTTAAAGGTTATTTTGTTTCCTAGCTTGGGCACTGAACCCCTTGGTTTCTACGTTTAGCTTTGAGGCAAATTTTAAATCTTCTATCTCATCTTCTTCTTCTTCTTTTTCTTTAGCCAAGACACTCAGAGCTTGTCTTGTCGATTTAACCTAATCAAATACAAATAATTAAACCTAGATTAAATCGAACCTAATCAAATACAATGAATTAAACCTCGAGTTAATCGAACCTAATCAAATACAATGAATTAAACCTCGATTTGATCAAACATAATGTAGTATTCTCTTACTACTAAAATGTGCAATGAATTGGCAAACTTAAACTAGCAAACTTTGATAAGATTCTACTTCAAGTTATTCTACTTGTTTCTAAATCTATTATCTTTGCAACCTGACAACATTGCAGATCGGGTTATTTCCATCACTCGGGCCTAACCCTAATGCGCTGTTGATATCTTTGCAACCTGGCATTATTATACTTCGGCTATCTCTATCATTCAGAGTAAACCTTATACAATTATCTGCTCGTGCAATTATTAACACCCAAAGTAATAAATACATTCAATACTATGTTAACACATTTATTCACATAATCATAAATGTATACATCATATTAGATAGAGATAACTAGATGGTTTAATGGTCAGCCATGGTTCCTTTACAACTTAGGTCCCTCAATAGTTCCCTCAGTTAGTTTATCCAATCTGAAGTGTAGAACTACTATATTTGCTAATCCATCCATCACGTATTTATCATCTCTATTCCAGGTATGCTGGTCAGCCCGCTCCTGTAATCTGTGGAGCAGCTTCCCAACATGGACATAAATCCTGGAGCATACCTCATCCCTGTTAGCTTCGGGATGAAGTCTAAACTCCCGCTCCCAGGCCTTCCTTGCATCCCATTTATTGACGTTGGGGTCTACAAGGGGCTCTTGGGTGTTTGTCTCCTTCAAAGTAGAGGACACCATACTCTCCAGCTCCTGGTTCAACGCTGCTAACTTATCCATCACCTCTTGCATGGTTCGCACCAGTCTCCTTCTCCATATCTTCATCTATAGCAGCTTCATTGGTGTAAGCTGGATTCGTCTCCTTCCAAGTAGCTCGTCCAGAAAGGTTCCCTCTGTATGCTATCTGTGCGCTGTATGTAGCACGGTTCCCAGAGCGGTAGTGTGCAGGAGACTTGTGTCTACTGCTACGGCTCGGGATGTACTGCTCTCTGGCATCCCGTTGAATTCAAGGGACTGTTCACTCATATTAAGAACAATCCGAAATACAACAATAATCAAATACAAAGATTTTAAACTTTAGTTGATCGAACCTAATCAAATACAAAGAATCAACCCTGGATTTGATCAAACCTAATCAAATACAAGTTTCAAAATTGAATTGATCGAACCTAATCAAATGCAAAAATCAAATTTTGATTTGATCGAACCTAAATCCAGTGCAAAAATCAAACCTTGAGTTTATCGAACCTAGTCAAATGCAAAAGCCAAACCTTGAGTTGATTGGACCTAATCAAATACAAAGAATTAATCCTGTAGTTTTTCGAACCTTATAAAATACAAAGTCAACGAAAAAAAATCTTGATTTGATCGAACCTAATCAAATACAGAGATTTAAACCTCGAGTTCTTCGAACCTAATCAAATACAAGAATCAAACCTCTAGACCATTGAACCTAATCGAATACAAAGATCAAACCTCGAGTTGATCGAACCTAATCAAATACAAAGAAGCAAACCTGGATTTGATCAAACCTAATCAAATACAAGTTTCAAAATTGAATTGATCGAACCTAATCAAATGCAAGAATCAAACCTAGATTTGTTCGAACCTAATCATAGGCAAAGAATATAACCTTGATTTGATCGAACCTAATCAATTTCAAAAATCAAACCTTGAGTCGATCGAACCTAATCAAATGCAAAAGTCAAACCGTGAGTTGATTGAACCTAATCAAATACAAAGAATCAAACCTTGGGTTTATTGAATCGAATCAAATACAAAGAATTAATCCTTTTCATACCTAATAAAATACAAAGTCAACGAATCAAATCTTGGTTTGATTGAACCTAATCAAATACAGAGATTTCATTGAACCTAATCAAATACAAAGATTCAAACCACGAGTTGATCGAACCTAATCAAATATAGAGATTCAAACCTCGAGTTCATTGAACCTAATCAAATACAGAGATTCAAACCTCGAGTTCATCGAACCTAATCAAAGACAAAGAATCAAACCTCGAGTTGATAGAACCTAATCAAATACAAAGAATCAAACCTCGAGTTGATCGAACCTAATCAAATACAAAGATTCAATCCTCGAGTTCATCAAACCTTATCAAATATAAAGAATCCAACCTCGAGTTGATCGAACCTAATCAAATACAAAGATTCAAAACTCTAGTTCATCGAACCTAATCAAATACAAAGAATCAAATCTCGAGTTGATAGAACCTAATCAAATACAAAGAATCAAACCTCGAGTTCATCAAACCTAATCAAATACAAAGAATCAAACCTCGGATTAATCGAATCTAATCAAATGCAAAGAATCAAACCTAGAGTTGATTGAACCTAATCAAATACAAAGAATCAAGGTAAAAAAGTGAACGATTCAATCGATTTCTTAACAGAATTATAGAACATATATTGATGTTTATAATTTTTTTTCTTTATCGTTTTTTATAATTTTGAGAAAAAAAAATATTTTTCCAAAAAGAAAAACAAAAGAAATTGAAAAATTCATTCTACTATTTTTTCGGTTCAAATTTTTCTTTGAAATATTTAAAAATAAACTCCTCTATTCAATAATTTAGTACCTTGTGAATTAAATTATGACGTGAATGTACTCCATTTAAACGGAAAAGTGTTCACCTTGGTTAACAGTGATAGGTAGATAACGTATTCTGTTGCCATCTTTAATCCTGAACATTTAAACTTTATATTTTTATTTTTATTCTTATTTTGTCTTTTTCATATTGTTTTTTTTTGTTAAAAGTTTTTTTTGCTTTCTTAAATTACTAATATATGAACATATATATATATATATGTATATATATATACATATGTATATATATGGAATTTGACATAATATTACCTAACCTACATTTACCAAATATAAAAAAGTATCGGACTTTTGTTCTGGATACTGTTAATCTTGAACAATTGATCTCGATATTCAATGCGGGCACTTTTAGATTTTAGAATCAATGTTTGATTCCTCAATGAAAGACTGCACTGCAGGGTATGACCATCACGAGATATCGACGAGGAATTAAATTAATCAGTAGATCTGCATCAGGTGGAGATCAAGATACACAACACTTGGTCAGATTTATAATTAAACTTCAGCCTGACAGGGTGTCCAACGAAACATGACAGTCATGTTTTTGAATTTTTTTGCGACAAATCACTTTTACAGGGACTGTTCGCGTAATTTCGAGTTACCCGATCCACCAACGCAATGCATGAAAATTTAATCGGATCAAAAATGTTGAAGATAACGGCGTTTTTACTGACTCGAGTGTTTAATTCTAAAAATTCTACATTTTTCCTTATGAGCAAGAACTGCGCAAGAAAATCGGGCATTGTCATCATGGCATGGAGGGTCACTGAAAATTATGCTAACATTCCCATGAAAGGGAAAATGTTGAAAAAGTTCTACCTTGAATTTGATGAATAAATTTCCCTTCTTTCGGTAGGACCGAGACAACCGTCTTCCTGCAGTGGTGTTCACCCCAAAACTGAAGAAAAAACATAATAAAATGAATTTTAAAAGGGAGGTATAACAGACAAACTAAAAAACAAAAGTTGAGTTCGAGGGGGGGGGGGGCGTGTATAAAGCCTCCCCCCTCGACCATATCCCATTCTTGGTTTTCGTTTTCTCTGGCAAAAAAGATTCCCCAAAAAGGTATCTAAACGTATTCTATATATTTTCAGTCTATTTTATTCTAATAAAACACCTTCATTTGCATAAACCAAAGCGCCTGTACCGATCAATCCAAAACTTTATATGGCAACTCACAATTGGACCGTCAAAATAAAAAATTTTTGAACAGAAAAAATGATTAAAAATGGCAACTTACCTGGTTCTCACAATATCTAGTCTTGAACAGGGTTGGTTCTCCTCCGGAGTTCTCCAGGTTCCAATGTAGGGTCAGGTTCCTGCAATCCAAAGGTCTCTTGAGCGAGATCGCATGAATTTTTGACGCCACAAAGACGAAAAAAGAACGGATTAATCTTCTACTAACTCTATTTTATAATAATAATATCTATTGCAAATTTAAAACTTTTATTGTATTTTGAATAATCCAAATCTGTTCTTACAGTGTGTAATTGTGTATTCAGTAATTCATATTTTCAAAAATCTACATTTCAAATTCAACAAAACTTGACGAATGATTCTGCTAAGGTGAATTTGATGCCAGTGCTCCAACAAATTTTGTTAAATGGAAATTTGAAATTTCTGAGAGTGTAATAATTTCAAGTGACCCTACCTGGACCCTCCATGTAAAGATGGCAATGCCCGATTCATAACGGCACCATACAAAAAAACATTTATGTGTAAATGTGGAAGAAACCGTCGTTTTTCTGACTCGAAATTTTTTGTTCTTTGAGTTTCTCCATTGTTTTTTTATTAAAAAGAAAACCGCAAATGAAAATGACCCGTTTAAAGAGACACACACATTGATATATAATTTATACTTGATCAGACAAAGATTTTAATGGTACCATAGTAAATCGGGCATTGTCATCTTTGCATGTATGATCACTTAAAATTACACTTACAGTTCCTTTTAATGTTACAAAAATACAAAGATTACAATTTAACGAAAATAATTTTTTCTTGTTAATGGGGAGAAATCCAAGATGTACATTTTATTTAAATTTAAATTTTTATTTTAGAGTCTTTGCCTGAATCCTGAATCAGCAGACAGACCAGTTATTGCAGGTGATCCACCAACCTTTATTTAGAATTAGATTAAAGTACAGTGATAACCAGTGTATTTGATGTTTCTAAGGAAATACAGGGTGTCCCACGAAACATGAACAGCAGCAAGACAATTTTTAAGTCGTCTTTGATCTTTTTGATTAAATTGAGACATTCAGCGTCAACTTTCTTTCACATGTATGGTTCTTCTAATTCTGGGATTTCAAAATTGTGGTCTGTCTTTTTAGTGCTGTCAATGTTTTCAAAGATATTGAGAATTTTGTTCAGATTTCAATTTTTAAAAATAAAACCAGAGTTGTCGAAATCTGAACAATACTGAACATATTTCCAGTAATACTGAGAGCACAAAAAAGAGCAGACCACATTTTGGAAAAGTCAAGACTAGGGGTATTTTGAGACAACTAACTCAAACACTTAAACACTCTGATATTTCAAAATGTGAAGTCTGTTAGATCAAATAATCTAAGTTTAATACCAAAGGTGTCCACTATCAGGTTGCTCAGATACAAGGTTTATACAATTTGAGTATTTAGCACTCAGTTCCCTTGTTTCTAGTTTACGAATTAATGAAAGATTGGTTTTACTGTTTTTCACGGATCAAGAACCTAATTCGTTAAATCAGAAGTGTCTGTTGTATTAAGAAATGAAAGTGCACCATCTTATTAAATTGTAGACCTCAAGTATAAACATACAATACAGTTGATTACTTACAAAGGATGCAATTTTATATTATCTAAGACGAAATTTTAAAACTTTTATTAAAATAAAAAAAAAATAAAAAATGGGTCGTGGCAAAAACAATTTTTTTCTTTTCTTTGCCACATAAGTGAGTGGGCACTTGTATAAATTTTATAACTCGTGGCCGCTGCTTTTCCAGAAATAAGACATGCTTTGTGAATTTCTTTTTCTCCTACTTTTTTGCAATGCCAAAAGATATTAACTTTGGTTCTTTTCAGGCCAAATTTCATATGAGTAAAACAGAATAATATTTATTTTTGTAAACACATCATGAGAAAAACAAAATAAACCATAACATTTTGAAAAATGATAAACATGTTGCGGTGACGATTAAAAACAATAAAAAGTTAAATGTTAAAAACCGAATAAAAAATCATTTCCTATCTCTAATTTTCAGGTGTGACTGTATTGAATAGTAAAAGTGCTATCTATGATCTACCGACAACTAACTATTGAAAAATGTTAAATTTTGATTTCAATTCAATACCTGCACCATGGCTGCCACTGAAAGAAGAATAAAAATGAAAAATTGCATTTTTTATTAATCAACCATTTTCATCTTAAAACGTAAATATAATTATTATTATTCTTGTCATCACCCTTTTGTTCATTTACCCCCCCCCCCCTCCCTTTTGTAAAGGCATTTTTCTTCTTAAAACCCCGCCCTAAACATTTTAAACTTGTTTAACCATATGGTTTTAGATATTTTACGGTTTATGCCTTCTAAACGTTCTCATCGTTTTAGATTCAAATCAACAACCGTGAATAATCATTTTCAATTATTTTCTTCAGAAACGATTTAAAGGGACTTTAAGCGTAATTTTAAGTGACCCACCATGAGAGAAATTTCCAATTCACAACGGTTCCCTTTAAACCTAAAACCTTTCTGTGATCAAGAATGACTGAGATATCCATGATTTTAATTTTAAACCCGTTTGTTTTCATTTGTGCAGTTTCTCTGTAAGGAAAACGTCGGCATCCCGTATCTTTCACATAATTGATAAGATTAAGGTTTAAAGGACACCGCTGTAGTACATGACAAACCCCCTTCTTTTAAATGGAGGCGCACTTGAAATTATGACGACATTCTCTTTAGCGGGGATTTATAATTTTCAAAACCTTAAAATACCCCAAAATAAGGAATTGAATCTTTGCCACAAATTCTAATTTTCTCATTATCTTTGCAACCAAATGTCGTATTCCTTTAATATTTCCAACTATGAATTCTGTTAAATCAAATAGTCGAAGTTTAAAATATCAAAGATTTACAGTATCAGGTTTCAAAGATATTCGGATTAGAAAATTTTAGTTTGTGGCAAAGATTCCTTTACTAATTGTTAACCTTTATCACATTTTTCCGACAAAGTTTTGAAAATTTGGTAGATTTCTCATTTAACTTTACAGTTTTTACATTCTCAAATATAAGCTAGGTCTTAAAAAGGGTTTTAAAAACGCCTTGCACTTCCATACTTTGACTGAACGGCCTTTGTTTAAAGTTTGAAGTTAAAGTTGGGGCAAGTCAAAATTAGGTGCAATCAAACAATTGCAAGTCAAAATTAGGTGCAATCAAATGATTGCAAGTCAAAATTAGTTCCAATCAACCAATTGCAAGTCAAAATTAGTTCCAATCAACCAATTGCAAGTCAAAATTAGTTCCAATCAACCAATTGCAAGTCAAAATTAGTTGCAATCAAACGATAGCAAGTCAAAATTAGTTGCAATCAACCAATTGCAAGTCAAAATTAGTTGCAATCAACCAATTTCAAATCAAAATTAGTTGCCCTCCAGTGGCTGCACAATGATTTAAACCACCCAACCTTTTAAGGGTTAAATAAAAGTTTTGTGTTTAGATTCAAAAGATTCTCCATTTTTTTACTTCCATATGCATCGTTAAAACTAAGTTGCGTCATAAAATTGAAATATTAATTTTTTATATTTTGTTTAGGAGAGAGAATAAAATGAGATAAGTAGTTTTGACTACAACGGAAGACGACAAAAACTAAGATAAAATCTCAATTCCTATTTTCAATGGGAAAATTAGAAATTTAGAATTCACGTTGAATTAAACTTCCGCTTCAGGTGTACGCACAATACTAACTCTCACTATATAGGCTCAGTATCTATCTATCTAACTTCGAATCTTTCTATCTAACTTTGCATCTATCTATCTAACTATAAATGTTTCTACCTAACCTATCTAACTATATATATATATATATATATATCGATCTATCTATCTATCTATCTATCTATGTATCTTTCTATCTATCTATCTAATTTATCTATCTATCTATCTATCCATCTATCTATCTATCTATCTATCTATCCATCTTTCTAACTATCTATCTATCTGTCTATCTATCTATCTATCTATCTATCTAAAGATAGATAGATAGATAGAAAGATTGATAGAAGGATAGTTAGAAGGATGGATAGATAGAAATATATATAGATAGACAGATAAATAGATAGATAGATAGATAGATATAAATAGATAGATAGGTAAATAGATAGATAAATAGAAAAGATAGATAGATAGATAGATAGATCAATGGTCCTAAGTACAATATCATGTATTGATCTAACAAGTTTCCTTGTAATATTATAGAGTAAAATCCTTTACCATGTGCTTGTGTTTAGCCGGCTTTTAACGTGGATATTGTAGACTACAGTTAGACCCATTAGCCTGGAGAACAGGAAGACGATAATCTTTTGTGTTTTTAAAAATGGTTTTCATATAGTTTGAAAATCTACTTCATAAGTGAAATTGGTATGTTTACACTGCACAATATACTGGCTTGTAAATGGGAGCCGGTATATAATATACTGGCTTGTAAATGGTAGCCGGTATGTAATATACTGGCTTGTAAATGGTAGCCGGTATATAATATACTGGCTTGTAAATGGTAGCCGGTATATAATATACTGGCTTGTAAATGGTAGCCGGTATATAATATACTGGCTTGTAAATGGTAGCCGGTATATAATATACTGGCTTGTAAATGGTAGCCGGTATATAATATACTGGCTTGTAAATGGTAGCCGGTATATAATGTACTGGCTTGTAAATGGTAACCGGTATATAATATACTGGCTTGTAAATGGTAGCCGGTATATAATATAGTGCCTTTTAAAACTCTATCTGAAAGGAAAGCCACTTATATCGTTTTGTTAAAAAAATATTCTTTTACAATTAAAACGACTGTGAATCTAATTTTAAACGACCGATCCCCAACTGTGCCCTTTAAACGGTTTGCTTTTTGTCTGAAAAACTGAAATTTTTCTTGCAGATTTCCTTTGAAATATATGGACTGTAAAAAAATGACCATCCATGTTTAGAGTGGTATTCCAGATCTTTCGCATAAATATACAGAAAACCGCAATTAAAAATAAAAATTTTAAGAAGAAACAAAAAAGAATATCTCTGCCAGTTTTGAACAGACTAAGGTTTAAAGGGTAGCGTCGGAGAGTCGCCCGAAATTACGTTCATTTAATGATTTGAATGATTTAGAAACAGCTGATATAAATTCAAAATGGCGATTTGAATGATTTAAAAACAGCTGATGAATTCAAAATGGCGAAGGTTTGAATTATTTAGAAACAGCTGATATAAATTCAAAATGGCGATTTGAATGATTTAGAAACAGCTTATATATATTCAAAATGGCGAAGGTTTGAATTATTTAGGAACAGCTGATATAAATTCAAAATGGAGAAGGTTTGAATTATTTAGAAACAGCTGATATAAATTCAAAATGACGTTTTGAATGATTTAGAAACAGCTGATATAAATTCAAAATGGCGAAGGTTGAAGAGAAAACGAAGTTTTGTCAATCTAAATTCTATAAAGATTGGAATCCAGACACGCTGGCCAAATACAACAGGTACGTTTAACCCTGATTACAAAGGGGGGGGGGGCAGGGGGTGGTCTACCATTTTCTATTTTTTCCATGTTTTCGTCTCCGGAACTAATGACTAGCATATTTTCAAATATGTATAGTTTTTGGCGATTTTCATCTGCTGCAGAATTATAATTTTTGGAAGACAATATTTTTGTAAAGACATTTTTCCGTATTTTCGATTTTCTAGAAGATCGGCAGCAAAGTTAACCCCTTTTCAAAGATATCTTGCACCTTCATGCATAGTTGATTAGCAAATTTGTTGTTGATTATGCATTAATTGATGGGAATAATTTGCAAAAGTTTTCCAAATGTATGATTCGCCAAATTATAATTCATGACATTTTTTGCAAACTATTCACTAAACGTTTTTTTTGCTAAGAATATTTCGACCTTTGACAAATATAGTCTGAGAGCTTTATGAAAATGCATAATGCATAAGCGCCAGACAGCTATGGAAATTATGCATCAATTTTTAGGGCCGGGTCGACCATGAAATGGGTTTACACTTATATATTTTCTCAATTTTAATTTAACATATTCTGATTTCGGATTTAGCAGAGCAAAGAAATTATTGGTCTGATTACACTGCACTATTTCTGTTTCTCATGTTGTTCATTAGACAGTAAAGTAAAGCTGGGAATTTTAGAATTGAATATTGATATTCCGATTGCTTAATTTAAATATCAAATGTGGACACTTTTAATTTCCCATGCTTAATTCGCTCTTTTTCTCGCTCTGTCAGTTTCAGACCATTGAGAGTTCAATCATTAAATGGCGCGAAAAATTTTAGATTTTCCGGCTTCTTTGATTGGCTGCACAAGTTTCTACAAAAGCCACGCGATTGGCTGAGTTAAATACGCTTTTGTTAATACAAACTAAAGATTAAATTAATCATGAGATTAACAAAAAGAGAAGATTAAGCATTCAAAAGTTTTCAGCTCTGGCCATATTTTAATTGAAGAGAAAGGAATAAGTTTGAAAACATTCCCTCAATAAAATATCGATTATATGTTTATTGCAAAGTAAGGAATATTTTCATAAAGGGAATTTATTCAGCTGGATTTGAAGATTAAAGGGACCGTTCACTTATTTGGGTAATTTCAGGGTAAACTAAACAGCATATTCACTGTTGATTGGTAATAGTCTTACTTTTCAAAGACAACTGTGGCCGGAGAAAAAAGCCGATTTTTCGTTCAGAATTTGAGCGGAAAGGGACGGTCCCTCACTTTAGACACTATTTGATGTTTTTTTTTCTGTAACAGCAGCCCAATAAAATTTACATAAATTTTAAAATTGAAAAAGGCTGAGTTTTCTGCATATTCAAAGGCAATTAGTTTATCTTTACAATTACAAAAAAATCAGATAATTTTCATTCAAAAATAAAAACTGAAACTTTTAACACAGAAATTTTGTTTATGTTTTCCTTTAAAGCCTAAAGCAAGAACCTTTGACAATAAAAACATCTGAAGATATCTCTTAAAATATGACTCAAGTGGATCCTGTACTAATTCTCTCATTGCATTCTTTGAAAATCCGTAATTTACAGTGACCCTCCATGCAAAGATGGCAATGTCCTACTTACAACTAGCTATATCCTTGAAACCTTAATCTGATCAAAAATCAAAAATCTATTTCAAACTTGTAAATCGGGCCATCTTTGCATAATTATTGATACTTATTTTGTCCAGTGTTGCTGATAAACATTTGCGGAGTTTCTTCCAACAGCCGGGCAAACAGATTCACCTGCAAAGAATCAAACAGGTATTATTCAGAGATTAGCAACCTTTCATTTATAATGTGACATGTCCGATTAACGACAATGGCAGAGATCACTAAAGAGGCTGTAGACATAATTTAGAGTGACTTTCCATGTACAATTTACAACAGTTAGGGATTCCAACGCCAGTGAATTTATCTTGCGCGTAATTGCGAGCCCTTCAATTCGGCAGAATTCTTTCTTAAGATAAAATAAAAAAATAATGCATAGTAAAATTAATTTTTTCTTTTTATTTGTTCACGTAAGAAATTGAACAAAAACCTATTACGAACCTCAGAAGTACAATTAAAAACGAGAACCAGAAAACTATGAAATAGAAAGACGACATTATAGCAAACTAAAGCATTTAATGATGTTACAACACAAATAGTTTTACTAGATACTTATTAAGTAAAACGGTTCTGTTCACACTAAACAATTGCTGTGTCTCATGTTCAATGTTCATTAAACTGTTTAAAGTCGTAACTTGAATCTAAAAGTTATCATCCTATTTCAAAGTTTTTTGGTTATCACTGTACATCTGATAGAAGTTCTTTGAATACATTTAATTTTATCTGGATTATTTTTGAATTAATACTTTTTTAAACATTAATAATTTGAAATCAAACTTATTATTTAATTTTTTGATTGATTGATTGATTGAACGGTTGATTTGTTGTTTACAGATTTATTTTCTGATACCTTTCGTGCATAAAAGTTTCTAGTTTAGAAACATGAAGCTATATAAAGGCAGGGTGTAAAGTACTCATCCTCTCTGTAAAAGGGACTGTTAAGGAAAAATGAAAGGGGGTATAGGCTGAAAGCTAATCATATATATATATATATATATATCTGATATTCCTGTCTCGAGAAATTTATATAAAACTGTGTCACATTTATACGAAAATCTGAAAACAAAGATATCCCAGAGAAACCCATTTGTAACTTAGGTTTTCTCCAATTATTATTTATAATTTTTACTTTTATTTTTATAGATATAATTGAAAATATTACTTATACGTCCGTATTACGTCACAAGAACTCCCGCCACTGAGAGTTAAGTGTACTTGTCACGTGTCTCTGTCTGCATACTATTTCTATATAAAATTGTATATTTTTGAATTTTCGTATAAATTTGACACAGTTTTATACTAATCTCTCGAGACAGGAACATCAGATAAAACTTTCACGGGTTGCGATCAAGAGCTACAATGCTCCTTTCATTTTTCTTTTACAGTCCCTTTAAGGGTTAAATAAACTGGATCTCAAATGTGTATTTTGAATTTTAAATTTATTCCAGATACAATGTTTACTTTGGTGTTCATATCAAAGAATTACACTTGGCATATTACTTAAATCCCTTACATGTATCAATGAAAGACGCAATTATTAAATTTGATCACTAAGAGCACTTTNAGTTTAGTTTAGTTTAGTTTAGTTTAGTTTAGTTTAGTTTAGTTTAGTTTAGTTTAGTTTAGTTTAGTTTAGTTTAGTTTAGTTTAGTTTAGTTTAGTTTAGTTTAGTTTAGTTTAGTTTAGTTTAGTTTAGTTTAGTTTAGTTTAGTTTAGTTTAGTTTAGTTTAGTTTAGTTTAGTTTAGTTTAGTTTAGTTTAGTTTAGTTTAGTTTAGTTTAGTTTAGTTTAGTTTAGTTTAGTTTAGTTTAGTTTAGTTTAGTTTAGTTTAGTTTAGTTTAGTTTAGTTTAGTTTAGTTTAGTTTAGTTTAGTTTAGTTTAGTTTAGTTTAGTTTAGTTTAGTTTAGTTTAGTTTAGTTTAGTTTAGTTTAGTTTAGTTTAGTTTAGTTTAGTTTAGTTAAGTTTAGTTTATTTTAGTTTAGTTAACTTTGGATTAGGTTAGTTTAGTTTAGTTTAGTTTAGTTTAGTTTAGTTTAGTTGAATTTAGTTTAATTTAGTTTATATAAGTATCCTCAGGGGGTATGGGGGAATTTTGGTTACTATTATTCCCCCTTCTCTGATCATTATTATTAAACTTATGCTTAGTGCCTTGCTTGAAGCCAACCGATTCTTTCATGATATAATTTTCAAAGAGAATAGAATATATTAGAGTGGAATTTAAACACAATCCCTCGGTATGAATTTTGTCAGTCCCTTTCAGCCTGAAAGGGAGTTCAAAGTGTACAAATCATGAAATGTTTTCACAAATTATACGCAGTACATCACACAAACACAGTATGATCCCTGGATATATCCATTCCAATTTCTTTGTTTTAAAAAGTTGTCAAATAACTTTAAAAGTGTATTTGCTTAAGGTGAATTAAAATCATTATTTTATCAAACATTAAAATGTAAAATCGTCGTTTGTAAAGTGAATACCTACAGAATTGTTAATCTTTTTCGCTCCAGACTCTTTTAAAATATACTGCAATTAATATCTTGTTTTAAATTAATTGTGAACATTTTCTCATGTCATTGTAAAACAAAAACAAACAAAAAGTAATAAGGGTTTCAATTATGACAAAAAATTATTTTTCTCGACATTTGGATGATATTCGTAAATCAATGAAGAACACATACTGGCTGTCCAAAAAAGCAAAACAATTAGAAGACGACTCTAGCAAGGGGATTCTAGGATAAAGCCAGGAGGGGGGGATACCATTTTTTTTTCCCCCCCCCCCCCCCCCTCCTTGTCAGGGATTTAGAAAATGATGATATCTCCCTCGTTACTCAGATATCCAGCAAGGTTGATGAACCAGTAAAGAAAAAAATTTCAGATTTAAAAATATCAAAATATTTTTTTCAAATCCAATCAGATAGCAAAAAAGGGCAAAACTTCCCTGCAAGATTTATGCAATATTCTTTCTTTTGTCAAAGGCAATTTAGATAATTATTTTGTCTGCAATTTGCAATATTTTTTCTTTTCTTTGATTACAAATAGCCATAAATTATTCTTACTTCAAGAATAATGGCATCAAAAAGAAAAACACCGTTAAAAGCTCAAAAAAAGCCACTTCAGGCTAATAGCTTGGGTTAAGGGAAAATGTTTTTAATCCATTCTTAAAATAGAATTGAAGTATCAATACATATAGAAGCTTCCCGCAAATTTTTAGGGTTGGTATCCCCCTTTCCCCCTTTCCGCCTGCCCCTTAGCTGTCTCAGAGCCGTTTTATATTGATTTTACTGTTTGATTACTTCAAATTAAAAAATATATTTTTATTGAATAAAAACATCAAATTGATTTTTATCAATGTTTATGCTGAAATTAACTCGGGAATGCATGACAGGCTAACAGAGAATTGATTTAGAGAAAATCAAATAATTTTCAAGAAAACTTTTCTATAAATGATGTTCCAGGGCCCAAAAGGATGAATAGTTTAAATGTGTGAAGTACACCGGCAGTACTGAAACAGTACAACAGAATGGCCGTTTTACACTTTTTTCGAGTAAATTCCACTCTTATATATTCTATTCTCTTTGATAATTTCAGACAGTCATCATTACAATGAACACAACTTTCGATTTAAATTTTTGATTTCTATCCAGCCTTCAAACAGTGTGTTTACACACATCAACATCAGAACAAAGATGAATTATCAATTGTCAGCTTCCCTTTGTTTTTTGTAAATTGTAAAAAGCTTGATAGATATCAAAACTTAATAGAAAGTGATCTTAAAACGAACTTTTACAGTATTTTGACAATTATTCAAATTGATATTGATAATTGATTAGAATTAATAGAACCATTTATATTCATATTTATCAGAGAAAAAGATTTATAGATTTTTCTTTTTTACAATTTCATGAATAAATAGAAAAAAGCATGTTAAATATTGTTATACTTTAAAAATGTTATGTATTGATTATTAGTCAAATTAATGATATTAATTGATTTGAATCAAACCTAATAATTTCTAAAATATTTTCCATTAAGTTATTAGATGTATTAATTTTTTATACAGGGTGTCCCAATAAACATGGGAATGAAGTGACGACTTTTATATCGTCTTCGATCCATGTGGGATCTTTTTAGGAAACAATTATTGCAATATTTCAGTTTAAACATCTTAAATCGAAAACGCGGTCTTGAGATTTTTAAAATGTGGTCTACCATTTTTGAATCTTCAAAATATTGCAAAATTTGTACAAATCTCAGTTCATTTGAAAAATCAAAATATCTTATATCTATCTTCGTCAATTTTTTTAATACTTTTTATATGCCTCGAAATCAAAGACGAATTTCAAGCTGTCTCTCGATCCCCAAGATTATTGGGACACCCTGTTGATAATTATTCAAATTGATATTAATAATATTATTTGATATGGAGTAAAGGTAATTTTTTAAGAAATATTGTCTATAGTAATTTATTAATATCAAAAAGTATTATATTTGGATTTTGAAAGAACACAATTTATTTCTGTTAATTGATGAATATAAAAATTCTGTATTACTATCAAACAAATTAGTGATTTTTAATTATTAAAAACTAGCTAAGTGCCCGGCGATTAAATTAGATTAAAAAAATAGATATGTTATGTCAATGCTGAAATCGTACTTTTTAAACACCTGGTTTTGACAATCCTTTATTTCTGTCTTTTTGGGACACTCGTTGAGAATTTTTGAGATACTTGAAAGGAACTGTACGCGTAAATACAATTTACAACGACACCTTTAAAAGCTTTTCTGATAAAAAATAAACTAGATATTCATGTTTACATGGTTAATTTTCTGATCAAATATGTGGTTGCTAACATCGTTTTTTCTGAGTCGAAAAGTGTTTAACTCCAATTTGACTTAATCTTTTTATCAAGAAATGCGTAAGTCACATGTACAGAGAACCAATAAATGAAAATAAACAGGTTTAAAAAACTAAAGCATGCATATCTATATTATACTGGATCAAGTAAAAGTTCTAAGAGTTTAGTTGTGAATCTGACATGTCACTCTATCAAGCGAAGACAATGTAAAAGAAAAAAGTGTTTAGATGACTCCTGATGGTCGAATGGTTGGTGAGAAGGAATGGCGGAGAATGAATCTGGAATGGGAAAGAAGAAGAAGAGATGCCAAGGAAGAAGAAGATAGAAGAAGAAGAACGGAAGAGGAAGACAGAAAACGAAGGTATTAGCGCATTTTATCATTTTGTTAAAAGGGACTGTAAGCGTAATTTCAAGTGACCTTCCACATAATAATGCTAAGTACTCTCCCAATGTATTTCTACAAGCAGCAACTTCATACGTTTTTTTTTCCTGATAGCAACATCTCATATATGCAATTTCCAAAGCGTCAACTTCCCAAATCTGATCTAGCCGCAGCGTTCCGCCCCCTTTGCAGCCTGCAGCGGCTCAGAAGGCCTAACCAGACCTTAACTGTACATTTGGAAAGTTGCCACTTGGGAAATTGCCACTTGGGAAGTTGCCACTTGGGAAATTGCCACTTGGGAAGTTGCCACTTAGGAAATTGGCCTTGAGAATAGGCCTTTGGGAAAGTACCTAACATCCACACGCATGGATGGCAATGCCTGATTCACAACAGTACCCTTAAAAATTAATCAGAATTCAACACATTAAAACCTAGAAAAACGACAATATCTTTCACATTATTGATCAGATAAAGGTTCAGAGGGTACCGTTGTGAATCTAGAATTGTTATCTTTGTGTGAAGGGTCACTTGAAATTACGCGTACAGTCCCTTTAAACTAAAATTAAATGTAATTATTGTCCACTGCATTAATTTATTTTAAAAGATAATTACTTGCAAACTAAAAGACGTAGAATTTGTCAAAATGATTTATCATTTCGTTTATAATAGATTCTTGGAAACTACTCTGCAGAGACTATATATAGAAATTTACAAGAATTAAAAATGCTTTAATTGTTAGTTTAAAGAAACAAAAAAATAAAAATCTTATTATCAAATCCAATTTAATCTTGTTAACCCACGCGATGCCATGGCCGTTTAATTTAAAACTATTAATTTTGCTATAAATATAATAGATATAATAGATATAATAGCTAAAAGAACAATTTGTACCTAAAAGCAGGATGCACAATTCACACCAGTACCCTTTGAACCTTATATGATTAATAATTGTCTTAAAGCGAAAAGTGAAAACATAGTTGAAAATAATCAGTTTTCAAAATGAAAAACATGGATATCTTAATCATACAGGCTTACCCACAAGGGATGAGACTGTAAAGACGACCCAAAACTATAAAAATATAGCGGTTTAAAGTTTTACTATTATTTTCTGCATTCGATTTACTATTGTGATGGTAAAATGATTAAACACAGAAATAAGCCAGTTTTGAGCTACAAGGATGAAGGAATCCTGAATCCAAGGAAACGGACAAACCAAACTCTGTACAATCGTCTCTGAAGTCTTTCTGGGTAACCCTGTTCTTGATGGGACAAATCGGAAATTCCACTGAATACATGGAGGGTCGCGTCTACAGTCTCTTTAAAGGATGGAGCTGCGTCAGCTGTCTAAACAAGAGGATATGGAAAGAAGAAAGGTGGAGGAGAGACGAAGAAGAGAAAGGGAGCAGGCAGCAGGACTTAGGTAACATTACTTTACTCCAAGCTAAATGTTTTTTGCATCACCCATTGGGGTCCAAACACCCAGTGGAAACTATTGTTTTTACTGATGGGGGGGGGGGGATTTTTCGTGAAATATATACAATGAATGAAAGCCATTCATGAGGAAGTATTTATTTCGAGAATAGGGCAGGACCGGTACGAATTTAGTAGAGCATTCATAATCTGTGACTTTCTTAGATTAGTATGACTTGCTTTCTAACTATTAAAAAAAATCGATATTACTTAGAAGTCAAGAGAAGCTGTAAATTAAAAAGCTTCTCTTTGATTACTTTTAAACTTATAAATAAAAAAAGATTGTTTAACAATCAAAGCTTATGTCGTCTTCATTGTATTAATATAATCACTTACCACTATATTATATTTCTGTTTCTTCAATTAGGGTTCTGATGACTAGATTAATTTATAAATGTTATGCTATTTAGAATTCAAGTTAAGGAAAAAAGGGAAACCAGTCGTTTTGATTTTTTATGATTAAAAGTTGTTTTTTAGGATCTGCACTTTAGATATAAGTAAATATAACATTGTTTGTTTTAGAGATGTAGCATTTACTAACAGTAATAGTAGGGTGGACCCTCAGGTAAATAGCATTTACTAACAGTAATAGTAGGGTGGACCCTCAGGTAAATAGCATTTACTAACAGTAATAGTAGGGTGGACCCTCAGGTAAATAGCATTTACTAACAGTAATAGCAGGGTGGACCCTCAGGTAAATAGCATTTTTATTGGTTGTGAAAGGGACTATAGTAGATTCACATCAGTAGTGTGATATTGTGGAAGCTATGGTAGTTTTTTAGCTTAAAAAGTTTTAATTCTGATGATTTCCCTTATTTTATTTATCAAATAAATGCACTAATAACTTTGTAAAAAATCCATCGAGATATAGAAGGCCTAACCAGACCTTAACTGTACATTTGGAAAGTTGCCACTTGGGAAATTGCCACTTGGGAAGTTGCCACTTAGGAAATTGAACATTTTGGAAGTTGCCACTTAGGAAAATACCCTTGGGAAGTTGACTCGTAGGAAAATACCCTTGGGAAGTTGCCACTTAGGAAATTGAACATTTTGGAAGTTGCCACTTAGGAAATTGAACATTTGGGAAGTTGCCACTTGGGAAATTTGCCACTTGGGAAATTGCCACTTGGGAAATTGCCACTTGGGAAGTTGCCACTTGGGAAATTGCCACTTGGGAAGTTGCCACTTAGGAAATTGGCCTTGAGAATAGGCCTTTGGGAAAGTACCTAAAATCCACACGCATGGATGGCAATGCCTGATTCACAACAGTACCCTTAAAAATTAATCAGAATTCAACACATTAAAACCTAGAAAAACGACAATATCTTTCACATTATTGATCAGATAAAGGTTCAAAAGNTTTTCGTATGTTATGAAAAATTTCTGAACCCGAAACATCGTTGTTTACACAATTTTTGACACTACAATATCTCATTGTTGAAAAATATTAAAATTAACTGTCCACACAATACCGTACAAATAGATGTACTTAGGATTAAACCCACTGTACTCTATGATACCAACTCAGTCATAAGGAAACATTTTTCGACAAAATTCACTGTACAGTATAAACCTAGCCAGGCAAAATTAGAAGAGTTATGCCCGCCCCCTGAAAAAATCCCAAGATTTAAAATAACTCATTTTTCAAAGAGTTAAACATCTTATTCATTCTTAAAAAGCTTTTGAGGGTTCTGTTGTGAATCAGACATACCACTCTTAAACTGAAAAGATGACAAATTATTTACCCACTTTTTTTCGAAAATGAGCAGGCCTTGAAAAGTTGAATTAATGACATTTTTCAAGTTCATTTCATTCAATGCTGTGTATTATTTTTTCCAAATCGCGAGCAAATTGCCAAAAAAAATGGGTGTTATGTGTAGTGCAGTACAGTGTATATTGAAATAGGTGTTATGGGTAGTGCAGTACAGTGTATATTAAAATAGGTGTTATGGGTAGTGCAGTGCAGTACAGTGCAGTACAGTGCAGTACAGTGTATATAAAAAATCACTCTCTCCTTAAATATAGGAGTAAGAAAATTCTTGTCAAAAATGTCAATATTTATGAGAATAAATTTGAGGTTGGAAGTCTAGTACAAGTTTGGAATAATCACAGGGTAAGTTTAATGACTATATAGCCAGGACCTAAATTGTACCTAGAAACCTATCAATCAACAAAAAAACTAGATCTGCAAGGCACTTCGCGCCACGTTTAGTTCTTATCTTTTAGATGCTTAGCTTATTAAATATAAATCTTCCAACATTTTAATACGACTTGACTCAAAATAAAGATATATTGGATAAATTAAAATCCACAATTTCAAAATTCATCCAGCTTGTAGTTAGGTTAAGCTTAAAAATATTCAAGTTAAAAAAAATTGAGTTTGCTTAAAAATAAATATAAATGGTTTTTAAATGTTTTTATTATGATAAAAACTGATTTAATCAGTTTGATCTAAATTAGAAATATAATAGAACTAAAATAAATTAAAAAATTTCTGTGAAATCAACTAAATCATTAAGATGCCAATTTTATAATAGATTACATTGTTTTCTTTATTTTAAAATTTTCATATCGTAAGGGACTGTGTCTGTAACGCAATGTCAAGTGACCTTCCATTAGCATGTCCAATTTACAACGGTACCTTAGAAACTTTTCTCTGATCAAGTACTATGTTATAGAATGTTAGAGAATAGAGATATTCATATTTATAAAGCTGGAAATGGTGCCAGAGTCCTAAACTTAAGACAAAGTATCTTACTGAAACCCAGTATCGGAAACCCGGTTTTATGAATGGGGTCAAGCCGTTTTGTAGATCGTTTCATACTATTCCATTCTCTTCTTGATTTTTGATTTATTAAATCAAATGTACAGGGTGTCCCACGAAACATGACAGTTGGTGAATAGTTTCAAATGTCTTCTTCTATAATTTTTTAAGTTGCTTGATACTAAAATGCATAGTAAAAAATATTTTATGGCAGTCAAATTATAGCAAAATTAATATCAAATTAAAATATTTAAGTAAAAGATTTCTTGAACGAAATATCCTGCAAAATGTCTTTAATATCTAATAAAGTTGATAGAAGAAGACATTCAAAACTATTCAACAACTGTCATGTTTCGTGGGACACCCTGTATGCAAATGTATAGACCCCACACTTGAAAACTCCAGATCATTTCAAGTATCAGGCCGACTTTGAATCAGGGAATAAGAATAAAGGGAAAAGAAGTGGCCCTGGTCTGGCATGAGAAAGCCAGTCGCACTGCTTTGCGGACGAGTTCGGTAAAGTTTACACTCACTCTTTTGGTACAGACACACAACATGACTACAGTCAAGGAAATTGCAGAACAATGTTGTCAATTATAATTAAGCTTGAATAACGACTAATTTATTGCAAACTTTAATCAAATTATATTCTTTGTATGAAAATTTGGCTTATAGTGTTGACTTAAATATGTAAATAATATGCTACATGTATATTAACTTATTTTTAAGTAAACAATTAACAATAAACAAATGTACTCTCCTAGACTGTACAAATCCCGAGATTCTTACGTACTGTATAAACCTACAGTACACACCTTTGGTACGGTAAACCTTACACACACTCTTTTGGTACTGACACCCCCCCATGACGTTTCCACGCCCTGCTTTGAACCTCATAGAGTAAATTTTACAGTACACTACATACAGCCAATATACAAGGCAAAACAGGACAGTACGCCAAACCAATAAAATCCCCTTCTAATGAAATGTATGTGCCCAATATGAAAACTTGGGAGTTCCTTCAACCAAGGAACTAATGCAAGGAAATGTATTTCAGAGATGTACGCATTTTTTGTACTGCAGTTTACTGTCTTTGGGCGGAAAAGTAAACACAAGCCGGATGTCACAGCCTGACATGGAATCCATTTTCACAAAAATGAGCTATGACATATTCTGGTCATATGAAACTATTATCTGAATTTTCAAAATTATCAAAACTCAATGCTTTTATCCTCCTCGCATACTAAACGAACACTGATGCATCTATTCCGCCCAGAGAGAACTGGTATCAATATGTACGCAGAGTATACGCGACCGCAATTAACTTTCCTTGCATTATGTACCTTGTGTTCAACGATACTTTCTTACATATTCAGCTAAGAGCCCGAAATTTAAAAGACTATCGTTGAACGAAACTCCCGAGTTTCCTTTTTGGGGTATTAACATTTGTGTAGATTTTGATTTTTGAAAAAATGGAGAATATAAAAAAACTGATAAAAATAGTATTGCATTACAAAAATATTGATAATCACATAACTGCCTGACCCCATTCGTGAAACCCGGGTTTTAAAACTGGTTTTCATAACGATACCCTGTCTTAATTTTTGGGCGCAGGAAAGCTCAAGTGCAGTACAATATAGTAGGGAGTGTACACTGTACGTACAATCTAACCTTGAGTCTTCCAGCACTAAATTTTCAGCTGCAAAAATAAGAATATCTCTATCATCCTTACGTGGAAAAATGTTGATGAGTGCAGTTGAATTAATCGAGCTTGTCATTCTGCACATTGTAGGTTATACTTGAGATTACGCTTACAGTTCTTTAAATCTGCATTTTTTAGGAAATAAAGAAGATAGTCGATATTATTAATTATGAGATTGAATATGTTCTGAGACCTGTATCGGCTCCTGCAAGGTATACAAATTCATTTTTCTTTCAACGTTGAAATTTTTATAAAATCAGCTCCTGTTATGATGTAAATTTTTTTTCTTTTCTATCTTTATGGAAGACCTTCTGAAATCCAAAGTCTAAAAATAATACAAATTCCAACAACAATCTCAGATATTTAAAACGAATAATTATTTAAGACAAGTATGTGACTCTAAAATCATTTTCCCATATGTGTGAACGACCCTAAAAATGATCATTACAGACGTGTGAATGGCCCTAAGCTGCGTACTAGCCGAAGAGCTCGAAGTTCCACTGGTCGTCAACATGGCCGCCAGGTGTCCACTTCAATCAACGGATATCCTAGAGTCCCAGCAACAAGATCTTCAAGCGCTCATCCCTTCAACACAGATAAATATGCTGTACAGGTAACTTTTTACAATACATCCTGTACAATGTACAATGTACACTGTACAGTGTACATAGTAAAACCCATTTAAATTTGTGCATGCCCCGGCATATCAGATCTGCGGATGCCACTGAATAAATGGAGAGTGACTTGAAATTATGTCCTTTTGATTCTCATACCATATATAATAAAAAGCAAATTTAAATGGCCAACAACGTCTAATACTTTGTCGGTAACCCGGTACACATGTACAGTGTACAGTGTACAGGGTACATTGATGTAAAACCTACCTCTTTCCTTTCCTTACTAATTCATATAAGATTTTTTATTTAGGCCATTGAACCCTCTCGTAGACCTCAGAGTAGCAATGCCAGCAAACAAATCAGAAATATTTGGTGAACAAAATATGATAAATAATTTATGCTTTAAAAATGTTTAGCAAAAAAATTATAGAGGGTAAAAGCTTGTATGATATTAAACATTGAACACTTGTAAAAAGTTGCTGTGTTTCATGTTCATAACTATTAAAAACCATAACATGAGTCTAAAAGTCATCTCCGAGAGTTATCTGGTTCTCATTGCAGTGGGATTTCATTTCTGTTTGCTAAAAGTAAACAGAAGTCTAATGGAAAACCTTAAACGCTGTTAAAATAAAAAAAAACTTTTATTGTTTTATTAGTGTGCCTGAAAATGAATTTAATTCTCAGAATCCTAGGCCCAACACTGCACCTCAGCCACGTCACAGGTAAAACTATTAAAAAATTTAAAATTGTCAACAATTGTAAAAACTTGTTAACAATTGTAAAAAGTTGTTAACAAAATTGTTAAAAGTTGTTAACAATTGTAAAAACTTGTTAACAATTTTAAAAACTTGTTAACAATTGTAAAAACTTGTTAACAATTGTAAAAACTTGTTAACAATTGTAAAAACTTGTTAACAATTGTAAAAACTTTTTAACAATTGTAAAAACTTGTTAACAATTGGAAAAACTTGTTAACAATTGTAAAAAGTTGTTAACAATTGTAAAAACTTGTTAACAATTGTAAAAACTTGTTAACAATTGGAAAAACTTGTTAACAATTGTAAAAAGTTGTTAACAATTTTAAAAACTTGTTAACAATTGTCAAAAGTCGCTAACAATTGTCAAAAGTTGTTAACAATTGTAAAAACTTGTTAACAATTGTAAAAAGTTGTTAACAATTGTAAAAACTTGTTAACAATTGTAAAAAGTTGTTAACAATTGTCAAAAGCTGTTAACAATTGTCAAAAGTTGATAACAATTGTCAACGATTGTCAAAAAATAAAAAAAAATTATGACAAGAATAACTGATTTCAATATTCAATTCAAATATGTTTTGTAACCTTATGAATATTGTTTGCTTCTGATGGGTTATTTAAAAAAATACCTCTGTAGAAATGTTTGTTAGATAAACAAAATATTTCATCAGTGTTTAGAAAAAACTAAACAATATCATTGATTCATGTTTCACCATAATTTTACTCAGCACAGTAAAACTTTATTATTATTTTTAACGCATTTTATTTCAAGCATTCTATTATGATTTAACTTTAAAAGTTCTGAACTAGACACGACACGCAATTTGATAAATTTGAAAACTTGATTTGAAATTAAATCAATCAAGTTTGGATCAATAACTAATATAATCAGTTGATTATATTTTTTTGAAAATAAAAGGGGGAAAGAGCACTTGAACACTTGAATGTTTACTTGTTTAGCCTATCTTTCCTGTATGTTTAAAAACTGAATTAAAAAAAAATTATTAACAGAGAATAAAAAAAGTAATTGGGCGGTTTGTCATTAACCGCCACCATGGGCGCCACTGTAACACCACCTGGTGACTAAAAATGAAAACTTATTATTTATTACTCCAGGTCCCCTACAAGACCTAATTATAAAGAGGAGGAGTACAAACAGAGCAGTATAACACTAAGATATATTGGAAATGTAGAACATAGGTAAACAAAATCTTCTTCCAGTGAGCTGTGTCTCAAATTTGATCTTCGTCTCAAATTTAAGACGCGGCTCAAACATGGTTGGTTCCTCTTGAAATCGTATTTATCACATATCCAGTGGCCGAATTTAAAGAATTTGAGCGGCGGTTTAAATTTAAGCCACGGTTTAAAAATGGTTGGTTCCTCTTGAAATAGTATCAAATGTTTCAATATTTAAGCCGGTGCATAATTTAAACCGGGTTTTGGCGGATTTAAACCGCGGCTTAAATTCTTTAAAATCATCTCAGAGTGCATGAAAATTGTTGTCGTCTTGAAATTTATTTTTAAAATTATGTGATCTGTAATGCTTCATCATTGGTCTGCACAAAAAGAAAGCTGCTGATATGCTTCCAGTTTCAAAGGGTTGAATACCATTTATAATAATATCGTTGTTATTATTGTAGAACGTCATACGTTTTTTGATAAATCTTCAGAAACTGCCTTTTATTTTTTATTCAAGGTAAATTAATAGCCCTGAAATATTAAGGAAAACAATTGATATATTAAACCTTTTTTTCCGTGGCATTTGATCTTTAATACGTTGAGAATACGACATTATAAAAAACTCTTGCTATGTATTCATATTTCTGGGATTCACTGTAGTAAAATGATTTCCTCTGTAACATCATCAAATTGAAATAAGAATGTCTGAATGTTGCTTCCTATTCCATAGTTTTATAGATCTCACTGTATTATTCTTGTTTTCAGGGCTCGAATGAGAAATAAAAATATTGGAAAGAAAGGCCTGAGTCCAGTGATACCTGCTTATCTTGACGAGGTTAAATCATTATAAAATAAAATTTTAACATATTTTCCTTTTAAATTGCTCAAGCTTTCTTTTTACTTTTTTGTTTTAATTGTTTATTTATTTTGTTTTTATTGTTTATTTATTTGTTTTGATTGTTTATTTATTTGTTTTAATCGTTTATTTATTCATTTTGATTGTTTACATTTATTTTGATTGTTTACATATTTATTTTGATTTTACCCAGGTGACAGTACACCAGCAGCCCCGAGGTTCCTATACCCTGGAGGTGTTCAAAGGATACCTAGCTGTAGGAGGTTAGAGAGTACAAATACAAAACATTATTGTATGTTTTTTTTCAGTTAAAAATATAGCAAAGTTTAATAGAAGCAAACTTTGATAGAATACAATTTTGAAATGTTATCAAAACACTAAATAAAAAGTTCTATGAACAAACGGTATCTTTTAAACTTAAAGGGACTATGGTAAAATAATCGGGGGTATAGGCTGAAGCCTAAAGATTTTATAAGTTGATCGCGACCAATATTAGTTCTATCTGATGTCCCTGGCTCGAGAAACTGATAAAAACTGTATTAAAATTATACCAAAACTCCTTTTTATGTGATTTGGTATAGGAATCAAAGTATTAAACATATATTCAGCAAACAGGGAACAAATATGAAAATTTGGATAACCCAGAGGTGCAAAAAATTTTAGGTACACTCCAATTTAATTCAAATATAATACTTATTCATTTTTAATAGATATAATTAAAGATATAATTGTTATGTCTGTATCATGTGCCCAGAATTTCATATAACATAATCACATTCCATTCAAAATTTGGGAATGCTACCTTACACCTACACATTTGATTTAATGATAATTAGATTATTAATAATTGTTTTAGATGAATTTTGGTTTACATCGCGTCGAGTTGAAGGATTTCCGTTTAGCTTAACAATGTTTGTAAACAAACAATGCCACGTCAGATTATCAGCATGCTGTGAGAGCAAGAGGATTGTAGGAACAAGGTAATTAATGGGATTATACAACCAGGGGTATTTTCAACGGAAAGCATGAAAAAATTGGAAATCAAGTGACAATGGTGAAGCAATTTATTCTTTTGATCTTTTTTTAAAAGACAACTAATTTGTTTTTCAGGAACGTATATCATCTTAAATTCTCTCATCAAATAATCCCAATATTTTTCTGTATAATTGCACGCTCAGTTAACTCAACTATACCTAGGCAATGGTACTTTAAACTCTTTTTATGATTTCAGTTTAGTAAATATGTATTTGTTTAAGGTTGGGACAGGGTATGTTTACTCTGGTTGGAGTAGAGGGTGCTGATCCATGTCTACGGTTTGTTCTTATTCATTTGGACTTTTCAAATAAAAAAGAAATTTTTCAAGAAAATTATTTAATTAATTGATTAATTAATATTTAATCTTGCTCAGAACGTGTTTATTTTTGACAATTTTGATCATAATTTCTGTAGGAAAAATCCGCAATTTACTTTAAAGGGCAGCCACACTTGAAAATATTCAATTTACAAGGTTAAAAACATCAATATCTCAGATCATTCTTGATCATGCGATGCTGTTAAGGGTGCTGTTGTGAATGAGTCATGTTTTATATTCTAATTGCATTTTATATTTTACTTTATATTCTAATTGCATTTTATATTTTATTTCATATTCTAGTTGCATTTTATATTTCATTTTATATTCTAATTGCATTTTATATTTTATTTCATATTCTAGTTGCATTTTATATTTCATTTTATATTCTAATTGGATTTTATATTTTACTTTATATTCTAGTTGCATTTTATATTTTATATTCTAATTGCATTTTATATTCAATTTTATATTCTAGTTGCATTTTATATTTTATTTTATATTCTAGTTGCATTTTATATTTTATTTTATTTTCTTGTTGCATTTTATATTTTATTTTATATTCTAGTTGCATTTTATATTCTATTTTATATTCTAGTTGCATGCTTGAAAAAGACCCTGTGGCACAAAAACATCTGGCAAAGTTGAAGAAGTACAGAGGAGAGTATGATGAATGGGGGAACAGAATAACAAGGGACCAAATTTAATGAATTTTTGAAAATTAACAGAAATTTGTGTAACAAACGAACGGTGATTTTCAAATCGTTACCAAAAAGAAATAACCGCTCATAAAGAAAAAAAACGGAAGAAAAATAATTTTTTTCTCAAAATATCACTGACATTCCTTATTTGTTCTCTGTTTAAAATTGCATGCAAATTACAGAAAATAAGTTATACAGCCTGTTTTTTTTTAAATGTCAATTTTTAAACGATAATTACTCCATCATTTACAAATAATAATGATGTTTAAGTGATCTAAAAAGGCTTGATGAAAGATGAGATTGCCACCGTTGTTAATTTATCAAAACATAAAGGCAACATTCACCTTGTTAATAAAATTAAGATTGTTAACGAACTAAGATCGCTAACGAACTAAGATCCCTAACGAACTAAGATTGCTAACGAACTAAGATCGCTAACAAACTAAGATCCCTAACGAACTAAGATTGCTTACGAACTAAGATCGCTAACGAACTAAGATCGCTAACGAACTAAGATCCCTAACGAACTAAGATCCCTAACGAACTAAGATTGCTTACGAACTAAGATCGCTAACGAACTAAGATCCCTAACGAACTAAGATAGTTAACAAACTAAGATCGTTAACGAACTAAGATCAAACGAACTAAGATCATTAATAAACGAAGATGGTTGACAAACAGCAACTTTAAAAGAAAGGAAAATACTGTTAACTTAACAAAGTGTTTAGTATAATTAGCTAAGAACAATCCGATACATAAATGTTAGTAATGAATATTTTCAAAAATACACTTCTATTTATATTTTATACATTATTAAATGTAAAAGTTCAAATGACTTTAATTTAAGTAATATTGAAAGAGAAGTTTAAAATTTAATTGAATTATTTATGGTTTGAGTGCCATACTTTGCTCTGGGAAAAAAATCATTTTCAACATTTTTCTCTTTATTAATACGTAGCAACAGATAGAAGTAACTTTTTTTTTCATTGAATCTAAATTTGATTAGGATTCAGACTAACCCCATTTTAATTATTTGCTTACCGTAAACTTCTCGCAATTGATTAAATTTGATTCCAGATCAACTCATCTTCTCCTTGATACTCCGGATTCAGAGAAGAGAAAACGACGGAGGAATAATAAGAAAAAGATGAAACAAGAAGAAGAAGAAGAGGAGGAGAAGGAGAGGTCTAAGGATATTGAAGAGTATGAGTATTCGAGAGTGGAGGAGTATAGATGTGAGTATCAATAAAGAATGTATCTTGATCCTCTGTATTATATTTGTTCCGCACTGGAAATTTCGAAATACAAAAATCGCTTATTATCGCAACATTTTGATGACCGCCAAATAAGCGCGTATTAAGTGAACCGCGCTAATTTTTCCAATTCTATCAAAGAATTGAATATTTCACACTGTCTCATATACAATTTGCTTATGCTAATTTAGTTAACATAATCCAATTGGTTTAAACAATTGTCTTAAAAAGAGGAAATAAAAATGAATCATCAATTGAACCCTTGCCCAAAAAACAAATTTCACATTTCTTATGGTCGGACACTTGTTATCACAAGATATCCAAATTGTGGTCTGCAGATAGTTTTGTTCATCCAATGAGAAATTAATGAAGATAAAAAATGTCTAATATTCACGCCATGTTTTAGGACACAAAGACGACTTTACTTATCAATGATTTAACATTTAAATGTCTCTAAAATCCAACTATTTATTTATATAATAAAACAAGACATTTATGTATATGTTGCGTATAGCTGGTCAAACGGCGGGACCGATTGGACTGAATTTTCTTGTGGACACTCATTGGTGGCTGAGGGGTGTCATTGGCCAAAAAAAAATTTCAATTTTTTTTTCAAAATTTTTTATTTTTATTTTTCCACGGGCAACGCCGGCCCCTTCAACTAGTAAAATATAATTAAATAACTTCAATCTAGAACGAGTTTGTGATCTCGTAGCTCCTCAAGTTGTCATATTACGCACAAGTACAGTAAAACCCTAAACAAGCCATACATCAAAAGAACTCATCAAATGTCGTATTCTTCACTTTCTGATAATGGAATGTGGAAGGTATTTAGTTTTTTAATTAAATGATTATATAGAGCTCTATAAAACTGTTCCCGCATATTCATGGCTATTTATTTATTTTCACAAATACTGAGATTTACGTAAAATAGTATAAAATTTATTGAAAAATTGTCAAGACGACATTTGATAAATTCTTCCGATGTATGGTATGAGAAAATTTATCCGGTTGCATAGTAGAAATTCAAAACATTTTGTTAAATGTTCAACAAATGTTATTGAGTAGTTGACTTCAGTCTAACGTAGAATGTACAGGGTTACTCAAAAAGGATGAGACCTCAGAGAAAATGTACACTGACATATTTCATTATATTCATGACTCCATGCAACTTCTTTTTTTCGTTGCCAAATCATTAAATAAGTCTTTTACAGACCACATTTGAGACAGAAGACTTAGTTTTACATTCTCATGACTGAAAAAAAAACACTTTATATAACATTTCAATAATATATTTTTTAGATTCCCCTCTGTCTCCTTCCCCCTCTCCTCCCTCGAGACCTAACAGGAAGTCTTCCAATGGAGGCCAGGGAGCTCAAGGAGCTCAAAGAGGTCAGGAAGGTCAGGAAGGTCTAGCTAGAGGTCAGAGGTTGACCTACACCGAGAGAATGGAAGAGGAGCACACCTACACTGCTGTAAGGGGAGATAGACATTATCTTAGAAGGTTTGATAGATTCTACCTGTCTGTATCTTAACATACAGTGAAACTCATAAAATTAAGGAAAAAGAAGACGACCGTTTATAAAACATAAAACATTACACACAAAAGAATTGTGCAACTTTTAAAACAATTGCTTTATTCGCTTCAAACTACATCAAGCAGTATTTAGTTTGCTTGGATATCGTCTTCTTATCCTACAGTTTCCAGGCTCTCACTGTAATTTTTAGAAGTGTGACATTTAACCAATGTTATTTTGCTCTAAAATTTTCTAAAGTTTCTAAAATTTGTTGAGCATTATAGAACATTCCGAAGTTTGAACTTGTTATTTTGACGTAAACTTATTTTTAAATGGTATATTGCTAAAGAAAATTGTTGTTGGGGAAGTTACTTTTTTTACTGCACGGGGAAATTGATGTTGGGAAAGTTGCTGTTGGGAAATTAGAAATTAGTGTTTTTTGCTTCCTTTTGCAAAATTTCGCGAAATTTTTTGTTCGCTTGTAAGTTTGTAACCCTTTCTCCAACTGTAAACCTCAGTATTTATTTTTTTCAAGTTTTTAATCATATCAAGCTTTAAGTTAAAATCTACCTTCAGTTCTTTTCACTTCAAGAGTTCAAGGTCGTTATCTCATTCTTTTTTGGGCACCCCTGTATGATAAAACAACATATTCTGGATATTTGACAGTTTTTGTTTAGGGAGCAAAAACCCCGAGAGGAACCTGAACCTGAAAATCATTATGAAAGTGATTTTGAAAATGAAAAACAAGATGCTGTAAGTTTTAAATTCAAATTGATTGATTATTAACAATAAGAAACACGAGAAACATAAAAAAGCCATGTTCATTTAAATTTACGATTTTTAATGGATGACATGGCATGTTATATACAGTACACCCCGGACTAACCAGAGTGAGCAGCATTCGGTTTCTTCTATTTGAAATCAAACGTGTTTTGGTCTATATTCAATAATCATTTACTTTACGGATTTGTTTATTTTTTACATTTTCATTCAAAGTGCATATGCCAACAAAAAAAAACTTTATAAAAAAAGGCTAACAAATTATGTTTGATTGGTCAAATTGTGATTGAAAGTCACAGCTTTCTGGAATATTGACAGAACCGTTAGATCCACGTGAGTAGTTCTTCAAAGGGTGTACAGGGTGTCCCACGAAACGTGACAGTTGGTAAATAGTTTTGAATGTCGTCTTCCATAGACAGTATTAGATATTAAAGGCTGTTTGCAGTTTATTTCGTTTAAAAACTATTTTGCTCAAACATATTTTACTTTCAAGTTAATTTTACTATAAAATTACTCCTATATTATATTTTTATTATTGTCTTTGGTATTAAACAACTTAACAAACTGTGGAAGAAGACATTCTAAACTATTTACCAACTGTCATGTTTCGTGGGACACCCTGTAGGTCCACCTTAAAGGCACTGTAAACTTAATTTTGATGAGCCTGCATGTATAGATGAGCAATTCACAGCCTCCTTGACAAATAAAATCAGGAATTTAGATTTTTTCAAAATTAAAACTTTACACTCCTTTTAGTTTCACTTACAGACTTAAACCAGCTTTAAAATTCTAATAAATTTATCCTTAATTTTTGATTTTTATAAAACACTGACAGAAAAATTAAATATTTATAGAGACCAAAAATTCGTCACACAGAAAGAATCTAAATAATGACCAATTTACAATAAAAGTTAAAAAGTTGCTATGGAGAAAAGAATGTTTCAAAAACTCACCAAATGGAGCTTTTTTCACGTTACCAACTTCCTAGATTTACATTGTGAAACACTTATTTTTAGGAGTATTCATATGAGGAAGAAACTTATGAAGATGAGAACTCAGAGAATCCTGAGGAGAGCAAAGAGTATGAAAATGATTCTTTTGCTGATGAAGTTGAAGGATCCTGTAGATCCTCTTTGTCCAACACTCCGACTGATTCTTCGCAGAAAGTAAGTGAAGCTGATTAATTGAGAAAACACACTTTAAAAACACCAGCAGGGAATACCATTTTGAAGACGACATTTTACAACTTTATTAATTTTTTATTGTCGTCTGAAATTCTTTATGCCTGGTGTTTGTAGAGTCTGGATGATGTGAAAAGAGATCTATTTTAGTCAACATGTTTTGGCCACAAATATACATTTTCACCGGAGAAGAATCGGGGGGGGGGGGGGGGGGGCCGTAGTGTTTATGACTAAAAAATCTTATTTTTGAGAATTATCGATTTATGTCATGACAATTCAACTTGATCATTAAGGCCCAACAAAACCAAATATTATCTACAAACGGAATGCGAAAAATTGACATCTTAATTAAAGCCCATGATATTGTGCAGTGTGCAGTGTGCACTGTGCTGTACACAATGAATCCTGTTTTTGACTTTAATAGGTCTCTGCTATGGTCTATGAATGTTTTATAAATGTACAACTGTACGCAATGAGAATTGTACAGTCTAACCCGCTTGGTAGTTAGACTAAATTAAATGTAAACTGCTTTTGAATGTAATATTATAGGCCTGTGTTAGTTTTCCTTCAATTTTACCAAGAACGCTTATTCTTTGACATTTTGCTTTTTTGAAAAATAAATCCAGAAACATTAGATTCTTCTGCCTTAATGACATGAATCATTAAATTTTTTAAAAGATAATTTTTAATAACAAATGAAACCATTTAAAATTATCAGCTTTAACTGATTTAGTCTTTTTTCTTAAAAATTGATATTTTTTTTTGAATTACTTGCACATTACCACTAATACAGGCCTTAAAGTGCTTATCTATTCATTATAGAATTTGTACTGTCTTGCAACCTTTTCTAAAATTAGCTTCAACTAAAAGCCATATTGAATGTCGCCTCATTTTTCAAACCTAGATTTTCAATTAGTCTTTAGTATATTGTGCTTGTTTTTATCATCTAATGTTATTTTTTGTAATTTTACACCTGTATCTTGTGAGAATAGTGAAATCTGCAATACTGGCAATTAATAAAGTTCAAGTGTTTTTGTTTGTTCTAAATATATGTTTGTTATAAATAACTATTAATTTAGTGTAGGCAAAATCTAGATTAGAAATATTCCAGTTTATTTCTGACAAAAAGCAAAGACACATTTCATTTCAGGAAAAAATTCCTCGGAGCAGACAAAAATCCGCAAAATTGAACTCTGAACCAAAAACGAGACAGATATCCAATATGAACACCACTTTAAGGAAAGAAAGAAAAACAGAAACGGAAAGTGATTCTATCAGTGATACATCTAAGCAAAGAAGGAAAAGATCAAGCTCAAGGCCGAGACAATCTTCTGTTAAAAAATCAAAAAATCTGTTAAACAATAATGCTCTTGATAAAAAACTGGTCAAACCAAATGCAAGGAATACAGACAGGAAATCAAACGAAGGGGAAAAATCTTGCAAAATATCAAGTTTTAGACTTGTTGGACTAATGGGAAAATTTATTTTTGGAAGAAATAAACTGTCTCTGGGTTTAAAAGAACTGGCTGGCGAAGATAATAAAACATCTGCTGCTAGTGATAATTATCCCTCTGAAGTTATAACTAGTAAAGATGAGGCTAGCACAGATGTTGATATAGACTTAGATGAATCGATAATTGAGGAACATTCAAAAGTAAATGATCTGAAAAACTTTGATTCAAATGATAATGAGATTTCTGAAAAAATAGATATTGATCTAAATGATCCCGAAGTTGCCAATAGTACAGCTAAAATCCAAGCAAGTTTCAAAAGAAAACAAGCAAGAAAAGAAGTGGAAAAAATCAAAGAAGATAAGAAACAAGCTTCCAAACATAAAATAGAAGAAGAAATAGACATTGATCTAAATGACCCTGAAGTTGCAAATAGTGCAGCTAAAATTCAAGCAAGTTTTAAAGGGAAACAGGTCAGAAAAGAGGTGGCAAAGATGAAAGAAGAGCATATTCAAAACCCTTCAAAGGAAAATGACACTGATATAGATACAAGAGAGGCTAAAATAAAAGCAGATGAAGAAATAGACATTGATCTAAATGACCCTGAAGTTGCAAATAGTGCAGCTAAAATTCAAGCAAGCTTTAAAAGAAAACAGGTCAGAACAGAGGCAGCCAAAATGAAAGAAGAACAAAGTCAAAGCAATTCAGAAGGAAACATTGTCAAAACGGAAACAGAAAAGATAGAAAAAAAGGCAAATGAAGAAATAGACGTTGATCTAAATGACCCTGAAGTTGCAAATAGTGCAGCTAAAATTCAAGCAAGCTTTAAAGGGAAACAGGTCAGAACAGAGGAAGCCAAAATGAAAGAAGAACAAAGTCAAAGCAATTCAGAAGGAAACATTGTCAAAACAGAAACAGAAGAGGCTGAACAAAAGGCAAATGAAGAAATTGATCTAAATGATCCAGAAGTAGCAGATAGTGCAGCCAAAATTCAAACAAGCTTCAAAGGGAAACAGGTCAGAAAAGAGGTGGCAAAAATGAAAGAAGAAAATAAAAAAGATGCTACCATAGTAAAAACAGATGTTAATTTAAATCTAGAACAAGCGGAACCAACTGAGTGCTCAAAGCTTGAAGATTGGAATCCCAAAGAAACACCGCAAATTATTGAGAATGCTGAAGAAGATATAAGTGTTAGATCTAGTGTGAACTGGGAGGATCCTGATATAAATGACACTGCAACAAATATTCAAGCTGGTTACCGAGGGTGGAAGGTCAGGGATGATATGAATAAGAAGGAAGAAGAACGAGCTGCTACAAAAATTCAGACCAGATACAGGGGTTACCAAGCTAGAAAAAATGTATCTAAAATTCGAAAAGAAAAGAATAAAAACTTAAAAGATAATTTAGAGGAACCCAAAGAGATTATTGTTGAAGATACCTCAGAATACACCGAATATGATTCTGAAACTAGTTATTATTATGAGGATGAGGATGATGAATCCGAAGTCTTAGACGAGCGACCAAAAACACCTGAAACATCTGTTGCAAAGTTTGCGGAAAAAACAGATTCTCAAGACTCCACCAAATTATCAGGGTTTAAAGCAATAGGAATGGTTGCTCGGCTTATGAAAAAAAGAAAGGAAAAGTTGGATGATGAAAGAAGACAATCCATTGTATCAAAGGATGATTCAACAATGGAAAAGAATTTGTCCAAGGAAAATCAAATAGCTGAATTAGTACCCAAAGAGCCCACTGCAACTGAAAGAGCAGCGGAACAAGTTTCAACAACTGAAACCACGTCAAAAATCACCACTGAAGATTCTGACCATAAATACACTTCAGATGACTTTTTAGATGGAGATGAAGAATTAGAAGATTCTGATGCAGAAACAGGTTCCGAGAATGAGGAGGAAGGCGAAGAAGATGAACAAGTTGTTCAGGAGGACAAGAAACCGTTTTTTCTTCTAAAACGTCTTGTTGGAATAATGTCCCTAACGGGGGGTCCAAATATAAAGACTTTTAAATCCAACAAAGTTGGGATTCTGGCAGAGGTGAAGGAAAACTCGAAGGAACATGAAGAACAGGAAGAAACGGTTCCAAAACCTCCTGCTGAGATTTCAAGATCTAAGCTTGAAGGAGTGGAAGTAGTTGTGACAGACGTAGATGGTTAATACTCATTTAAAAGAGCTTAAAGAGATTGCAAAGCCAAATTTCAAGTGATCCTCCATGAATATATGACAATGTCTGATTCACAAAGATATCTGATCAAAAATATGGAAGATGTTGTTGTTTTTCTAGTTTTAAAAGCATTTGAATTTGCTATTTCTTGTTCGTTTTTCTGCGGTATAAATGTACAAATCATTTTTGTAGTGAAACCACAATTGAATATAATCAGTTTTAAAAATTACATATATTGATATATAATTAATATTCGATCAGGACAAAGCTTTTAAAGGAACCATTGTGAATCGGGCAATGCCATCTTTGCTTGTAGGGTCACTTGAAAGTCCATGGATAATATTAGGAGAGCTAGTTGATTTATTGTTAGAATTTGATCACTGATAACTTTAGATAATTGTTAGAATTTGATCACTGATAACTTTAGATAATTGTTAGAATTTTATCCCCAACATTTTTGTTAGAGCTAGGTTTTTCAGCGAACGAAAACTTTTCGCGAAAAATAATTTAAAGATAAAAAAATTCCGCGAAAACCTTAAGTATGGTAGCATTTTCCCCACGAAATTTTAAAATTTGTTTTTTCGTGAAATCCCATTTCTTATTAAAGGATTTATCCTTTTCGCTTAAAACCCTAGAGAGCATAGAAAGATATATAATAATTAGCCAAACTGCATTTTAGTTTTTAGGAGAAATGAAATTGATAAAGCATTATTGAATATGAAATGATTTATCTAGTATCTAAAGTATAATGTATGTTCAATAAAAATCATATTAATCCAATTAAGTGAATTGTCACTTTTATAAAGCTATGCCGCAATGACTTATCAAATTGTAACATGAAAATAATGTTAAAATGCTACGGCGTAAAGTAATTGCATATTCATAATATATATTTAGGATTGACAGTAAAAAATATATATCTAAGGGTTAAAATTTTTATCAGTTTAAATAAGATTTTGTCTTCATTTTCTAAAGTGATAAACAGAAAACTCTGAAATAGGAAGACGACTTTATAGAAATACTTTCATGTATTTGATGTTGTTACAAAGAAAACAGAGTTACTAGACAGAGTTTTCTGGTTCTCACTGTAGAAACACAGAAGTTCAGGCAGAAAAAATGGAGTAAGTAAACAGAGCTTAAAATTTTTGTTGTGGATATGGTGGTCGGTATTTGTATCAATACAATGAAGACGACTTTCCCTTTTCAGTTTTTATTTCTAACAAGTTTTTTCTTAAATTATAAGTTTACAAATAAACAAAGAGAAGCTGTTAATTGACAGGCTTCTCTTTGTTTCCATTTATATGTGTTAGAAGTTTTTTCCATGAACACGTAATTACTTCTCTTTATTCCTTTATAACTTTTAATTATGACTTACATAGCGCAGACTGCTCTGAAGTGTTGCATTAATTTCAAGACTGGATCGGCTGTGTTGCACGCTTTAAGGCCTTTAAATGTACCTATACTAAATAAATTATATTTTTTGTAGCCCTGGGCATATACATTTTAGAACCAAAAGTACTTGCTTTTAGCTTCAGTCTTTAAGAAGTATTTGACAAAGTTATCATCGATTTTTAGACTGAAGCAATAAGATCATTAAAGTCTCAATCTTTGTGAATAACCCTGTATGTTTGCTTGTTTTAACAGCTCAAAGTAAGCCTTACTTAATTGCGGGAATCATTAATCCCTCACAAATGGACAAAAGATGGATTTTTTAAATTATAAAGGAGCGGAGATCTTGCCACAAACTCTAATTGCAAACTTGTTATTTTGCAACCCCATGCCGGAAACCTTTGATACTAAAATAACGTCTAATTTTGAAATATTAACGGAATATTAACGGTTTACATCATCAGGTTGAACAGTTACATGGAGATTAGAAAATCAGAGTTTGTGACAACAACTCAGTTCTTCAAGCTGTTGCTTTGATCGTGATTGTGCATTTGAACGAATTGTATATTTGCCACATCCCCCTTAAAAATTAAAAACATTATAAAAATATTTAAAGTTTAATCTTAAAAAACCAACTTAATAAAGTAAGTGATTTCCTGCCACAAACTCTAATTTTCTTGCCTCATTTCTTTGCAACCCGATGACGTAGCATTTTTATTTTTAAATTTTGTTAGATAAAATAGTCAAATTTTGAAATATTATTATTGGTTTACACCATCAGGTTGCATAGATAAGATAAGAATATAAGAGTTTGTGTTAAGAAGTCCTTTACTTTTTCTTTTGCTTTTGGTAATAATTCTTTCAAACAAATGATAAAAATGAACAAGATGTTGATGATGATGTTTAATAGTAGTCTTAATCAGTTATTATAAGTGAAATGGGTCTGTTTTTACATTACATCAGTACTGTGCCTCATGTTCAATGGAATTTACCCACCCCCTTTGAAATAAAAACTGTAGACAACCAGAGTAAAGAATATGGAAATTTAACAGATTTAACAGATTGATTTCAGCTTGGATTAACAGGTTTTGCAGCTATAGCACTTCTTGGAAAAGCTCTGACAAGAATTATGAAAAACTCAGGAAAGGATCAGAGACTTGTATAAATACGAAATTTTAATATTTCAGCTGCTTATATTATCATTGGCAGTGTGTTAAAGGGACTGTAAGCGTAATTTCAAATAACCCTTTATGCAAAGATGACAATACTTGATTCACAACGGTACCCTTTAATCCATTGTTTGATCAAGAATGAATGAAATATCCTTGTTTTTCTAGCTAACATTTTAAAAATGATGGCTTCTTTGTAAAAAAAACTTTTTTACAACAGGAAATAAGAAGAAACTTGTCAGAATTCTACGTAAATAAAAATAGAAAAAGACTTTATGTTTCTTCATTTCTCTTCATAGGAAGGTTTAAAGGCCGAATTTCAGCTGTCGTTGGGCCTTATTTACGACTTGAGCTTTCTGATTCAAGCTGCATCTTATTTTCTACAAAGTTGAATTAAAAAAACTGGTTTAACATTCTATTTGGCGGATTTTCATGGTAGGAATTGGCGCATTCCGGGTTTTTATGAGAACAAGACTCAACATTGAGACTTATTCTCTACTAAAACCTTGACTAAAACCACCAAGGTCGGTTTTATTTTTATTGGGCCAAACTCCTAAAGTCGAGCCAAAGATCTTGCAGCTGTCAATGACGAGACACAAGCTGTCGTTAGAGTTGGGTCGACGATTGGGTCTTAAAGTCGGGTTTAGGGCATTACGACTCAAGCCGAAGTTTTTAAATCGCGGCCTTAGATGATATAGGTCACCGATGTTTACCAGGCATATGCCACTCTTTAAACCAAATTTCATTTGAGATAACAATGACATTTACTTTAAAAGTCAAAGTTGAAATAAAAACAGTGAGACCCATAAAACTGTTAATAAGTGGACGACATTTAAGCCATATTTTATGTGTACTATGTTGTTATATCGCATAAAGTTTTATCATGTGGTTTCTTTAACAAGTCAAAACTGTTGTGTTGTGATTCTCGGGATCAAGCATTGATCTCTGTCATATTGATCTCCGTCTTATTGATCTCCGTCTTATATAGATCCTCAAATTATATCTCATAATGGTCATACCCTTCACGGATCACTTTTAAAGAGGGATAAGGCATTGATCCTCAAATTTATAAGTGATAAGGCACTGTTCCAAAGTTGTATGGGTTTCATTATAGTGATTAGGCCCTATTCCGCAGTTGTATGGGTCTCATTATAGTGATTAGACCCTATTCCACATTTGTATGGATCTCATTATAGTGATTAGGCCCTATTCCGCAGTTGTATGGGTCTCATTATAGTGATTAGGCCCTATTCCGAAGTTGTGTAGGTCTCATTATAGTGATTAGGTCCTATTCCACAGTTCATTAGGTCCTATACCCACTTGATCATTTTTAATGAACTCTTCTTTAAGAAAGTAAGGTTTTTGATTCCCTGAAAACAGTTCCTAAAAAGAAAACTACTAAAATAAACTGGGAGAATCCTGAACTTGAAGATGCTGCTTCAAAACTCCAGGTTTGTTCACAAAAGGTGTGGGGGGGGGGGTGACAGTTATTTTAGAAAATAATATTTAAGACGAAAAACAGGTGGAAACCCGCCGAATTGGTTAAGAAACATGAAAATTACACCATAATCAAACTTCGGGCCGAATCTGGGCATGATGAATTTGCAGTTAGAGTGGGGGGGGGGGGAGGCAGAGTACTAGCCCCTTGATGTCAATTTTTCCACTTTTAAGCAACTTGAGTAAACTGCACAGTAAAAGTATACTATGTTTATAATTGGCAAAACGGGAGATTCAAGTGCAAGTCTATTTAGTTATCAATAACTTTTCACTATTCATAGCTGAGATTTATTATAAAAGCTTTAAAACCCAAGTAAAACCCGAATTTGGGCTCAGATAGAACCCAAGTCAGGATTGGTTCTATTTCGAGTTCTACCAATGAGAGACTGCTTAGAAAGTTTTCTCTCTGAAGTAGACAAGGAAATTTAAATTTTAAAAATTTGAAATTTACAAAGATACATTATTTTCATAGTATGTTTATTTTCATACAGCTTGACACTGCAAATAATTCCCGAGATTTAAATGTACAAATATAATAGATTTTACGAAATTTATCAGCTTTTGAAGACCTGAGCCTAAAAGAGTGAAAAACCCAAGGCGGTTGATTTTTACTAAACTCATGGCCATCCAAAACCCAAGTCTTGACTTGAACTCTACTTCGGTCCAAGGGTTAAAAAAAGGTCTTAAAATCTCAACTCTGGTCATAGACAAGCATTTCTTGTAAGTTAATATGTAGGCTGGGTACTTTGGAATGAAAGCAAGAGAAAGATTCAGGTAGCAAAATAAAAAACATCCTAGAAATTCGTATTTAATTAAATGTTTCTAATAAAGATGATAAATTATAATTCAAAATTTAATTGAAATGATGATTGCTAAGATTCATGTTCAAGAGACTTTAAAACAAATAACTTTAGAATGATCTTTGTATTTTAATGTTT